AAGGTTTATTATCACAAGAAAGAAAAGCCTGAGAGTCAGGTTGTTAAAGAATAGTACGTTACATGCACTGAATCTCCCAGTCCTCGATGCAGGCTCTAGCAGAGATGTTACAGCTGCTGGTTTAAAAGTCCTTGTTGCACATCCTAGCATCAGGATGGGTTCACAGGTCTTCCGGGCTCTTCGATCCCTGCAATGCTGCCTCTGGGATGAAGTGCTGAGCTGAGAACAAGATGGCGTCGACCACATGGCCTATTTATACCTCCTTCCTGGTCCCTTCTTGGCTGTACTAGGTCACCTGGCCAGCGGCCAATCCCTGACACGCACCATTTTTTTTCTACCTTTGCAACGCATTTGTTTAACAACTTAATTGTAGCCGGGCAGGCGCTGACTTTTTTGGGGTATAAAAAGTACAAAAATAAAGCGCTGTAAAACTTAAAACAAATTTCAATTGTGTTGACTTACCCCCCCCCCCCCCGACATTATACAATCACATGACTAGCGTACATAGGATTAGCAGACAGTGAGCTTCTATTCAACACCCCACACGGCCCCTTTTATACCATTTTTGGGGCCAACACCCCCACCTATGGGTGCAGCAGCGACCTGGCTGCTCCCCTCAAATTCAGTAACGTGACAAGGCTGAATGGGCATCTCCTAACGGCGGAGTGCCTGCCTGCTACCTGCCCCCGGCGCTCTGCTCTGGCACGGGGCAGTCTGTGAGTTGCTCTGGGAGGCTGAGGGTGCAGGAGGCTACAGAACAGCCCAGTCTCATTACAGGTTTATAACCGTCCCGTTCTTTAAAAAATCTGCCACCAGCGGAGTTCCCTGCAATGACCCTGAAATCCAGCCGTGTCTGAGCGTCTCCCAGTGGCCTCGCTGTCCTGGCCATTCAGCACTTGTCCAGATGACAGAGCCTGAAACGTGAATGAACTCCCTGGGCCTGCACCCCAGAGACGTCTTTGACCTGAGTTGGCTTGGACTAAGGAAGGTTTTGCCTTCCTACAACCACCCTGCGTCTCCTCTTCAAACCTGTTAAACCAGACAGGACCAAGGGCCAGGAAATCTACTGCCAGGACCAAGGCTGCCTGGCTGAGAGAGGAATCCAAGAGACACGCCCTAACAGCTGTTTTCTGTCTTTGATATCTTGTTTGAATCCCCACCCCTCCGGTTCCCCTGGCAGGGGCTTTGAAGGCTCCATCTTGAAAGCACAGGTCCTTTGCATGGCCTCGGGGCTCTCAGAGGAGATCCCCTACCCACAGTGTCAGAGGGGTGGTCCTGTTAGTCTGTGCATGATGATCGGGTGGATGTGGCCTGTTCCCCACGGGCGGTGAGGGGGTGTGAATACCAAGAGAGGGCAGATGGGTTCTGTAGTGAGCCAGCCATTCTCAGGCCCTGTTCCACCCCAAATTAACAGTGTCAAGTTTGCAAATAAATTGCAACTCGGCCATTTCTCTCTGCGGGTCGCTCCCTTTGATTCAGGCGCTAGGGCCTAGGCTGTTCGTGCTGATCTGTGATTTCCACTCCATGCATTTGAGGAAGTGGGTTTTGCCCATGTTAATCTGCAAGGTGCCACAGGGCTGCTCCTCGTTCTCTTAAGCGTCGCGCCCTCAGAGGACTGTAGAGAGTGGCTGCTGTATTCTTTGACACTCTTCCCCAGCAAAAATCCTAAAGCAAAGGGAATTTGGCAAAACCAAATAAAAGGCAGCAAACGGTGAGGCCTCCTGGGCTGGGGCTGGCGGCCAGATTTCACACGGGAATATTTTGTCCTGAGAGAGAGAGCCCCTCACTGCCCCGTGTTCTGAGTCGTCCCGTTTCCTCCTGCAGGTGCAGGCGACCCACTCGGAGTGCTCCCTCCTGCTGCGTTTCCAGGAACAGCAGGCTGGGTGTCTGGAAGCAATCAGGAGTGAAAACCAAAGCAGTGAGTCCCCAGGGCCTTCCAGCTGGAAAGGTGAGCGAGGTTCCAGCATCACTAGGTGCCAGGGCCGCTGGCTGAGCCCCGCCCCCAACTTCCTGTCCCTCCCACATTCCAAACCCCTCAGCCCAAGACCAGAGCCTGCACCCCAACCCCTGCCCTGGCCTGGTGACAGTGAGGGGTGGGGCCTAGGAGGCAGGGCAAGGCTGTTTGGCTTTAGGTAGCTCCTGGATTGCAAAATGCAAAAAGGGACCTTGGCTTCCACAGGGTGGAGACCCTGCTGCACCCTCTGTGCTGTGAGCCCACTAATTCCCAGGGGGCGAGGGGCTGCATGGATGGGGAAGGAGCCGTAGGGCTCACATGCAGACTAGCTTGCTACAGGGCAGCTTCCCCGCACGCGGGCAGACGCCTCCCCGGCCCCGGCCGCGGCTTTCGCCTCGAGCGAGAGCAGCTGACGCAGCGACGGTTTTATTCCTCACCCTCAACCTCACTGAGGTTCGGGGGCAAAATGTCTCCTTTGCTGGCGCACAGAGAGTCAGCCCAGGCTGGGAGAAGGCAGCTGTGGCTGGGAGCAGCACTCGCTGGGGGTGACCTGCCTGGTCCTTGTCAGAGCAGGCTGCCGCTGTCCAGAGGGCACCTGACGGCTTGCCCTTCCCCCCTAATTAACGCTGCCCTTGGCTCTCCAGGCTGCCTGACCGAGTGGGACGGCATCAGCTGCTGGCCGGCAGCGTCCCCGGGCCAGTCCCGAGCTGTGCCCTGTCCGGAGTTCCTGCAGATGTTCAAGAGATCTGAAGGTGCAGTGCTGGGCCCCTGCAGCCTCCAGCCCAGGGGCCAGGCCCCGTGCAGCCCCTAGCCCAGGGGCCAGGCCCCGTGCAGCCCCTGTGCTCCATGAGCTGGTTCCCCACCCCAGCCCCTCGCTGGGGAATCGCTGTCAGCAAGGAGAACTGCTCAAAA